GTAGACATAAAACATGCACATACAATATCACAAATTGCAATTGCTTACACAAGGTCGGTTAGTAATACCATAGATTATCTAATAGTTGTCCATGCTTCACTCAGTGTTAGCTAATGTTTAGTGAAATCTGTAACTGAGGCATCAATACTTTTATATTATCTATATTATTTTCATCAGCCTAACACTGTCTGGGGCACAAGTCTTACCTATGTATGAAAATCTATTAACAGTGACGTAATTATAGCACGCTAATTGCATTTCATTACATCTCTTTTGACATAGTACTTGTTACTAGATCACAAAACAAGAAAAAAGGTTTTCCACCGTTGATTTGCCAAAACACCATTGTACTTATAGTTTTAGGTCCATGTAAATAATACAGTGACAAAATTCTGTTAATTGCAATTTCACCGAGGCGCCGATATTACGATAAAAATTGCAAAATCGTAGGCCCGGGCCTACTATAACTTTAATGAAATCTATATTATCTGCTACCAAAGAAGTAGTGTATCGATCTCGTCACTCGTTGCTCTAAGTAAGCGTTCCTTAGTCTCGGCTCGTGACGATTGGGACTGGTCGTAGAATTTTTTTTAAAGACGCTGTGAGCATCGTGATTTCTATCATACTGGTTAAAAAGTAACAATAATATTACGATAACATCAATCGGAGTGGATATTTGAGGAGAAAGTAAGTAAAACCAAACTGAACTAACTATCAGAATATGCATATTTTAGACCGCCAATCAGAGGTTAATAACTGTTTCCTTAAACAGCTTCTACGGATCACTTTTATACATTGACACCCGTTGGTGCCCCAACGCGAGAAAATACTACACTTGGATACAGCGACATCTCCCTAACAGCATGATAATCATAGCCTCGGAATTCACTGCATTCAGCCAGCACATTAGTGTGATCAAATAACATTGACCGACGGGAAGACAACCATTAATAGTTTGCCATTGTTGAAAAGAGACAGTTTGGTAAACCGATACAGTTCCCACGTTTAAGGCTATTGTAATTAATCCCTAATTGACGTATGGTACAAGCGACACTCTATTACGATTAAATAAAAATAGTTATAAGATAAATAGATGATATCATAGCTGTAGATACCCTTATATACAACACAGATATACAATGGACAATGATAAGCGTTACATATATCTTGTGCTATTTCATATCATTGCTTAGTGATAAAAGATTGTCTATTTATCACAATTGTGCTAGCTGAGATAGAGTGATATTAAAATAAGTAGTTGCAAGATTTTCATTTCGGAAAATCTGAATGGAAGACAATTTTATAAACTCCCGTTTCCACAAGAATCCAGCCATGTATGCGAGAGACCGAAGAGATGACATTATTTTATAAATAAGTGTCAGTCTCTTCGCCGTGCGTGAGTTAAGCTTGGATGACTTTATGATGGGTCGTAGATACAATGGTATAATGGTAGCACTAACCCAAATATGAATAACGAAAAGATCGAGTGAGTGAAGTGAGTAGTTTATCGACCCACCACGTATACTAGTATCATGCCACCCACAATGTTTTGATATGACATGTCACATTATTGCGTAATAAAGTCGAATGATATTTTTTACAACTAAAACACTAATAACCCAACTAAAACAGGTTTAAATTACATTCTAATGCGATAGTACCTTACATGTGTTTTTCAGAAACATGCAAATTGAGAGTCGTCAGTTACAAAAACCAAATACGAAACGGTAATTGAAAATTCTAATCCAAACTCACTTACAACGGATCGTACTAATTTAAATGCCAATAAAAAATTCTGAAGACGTTTAAAATATAAGTAATAAGAAAAAAGAGGCCAAATTACCAACAGTCTCGTATCAATGTTAAACAATGCTTATAGTGATATTAATGACGTCACTGTTGCAGTAATGACGACCGGTCACGCAACCACTGCTGAAGTCAAAGGAGATGACTTAACATTACTGTCTGTTACGACCGAAGCTATTCATTAGACGACGTACTGAAAGTACTCGTAATATAATGGTAAAATAAAAGCTGAAGACAATTTTTGTTTAATTACAATTTGTATGAGATGATAATTAGACCAAAATATTACTTTGTCTAGAATCATTTCTAATATAAAATGATTTTTTGTTATAATTATTGTAATCTTTCCTCTTTATACAGGTATATAGGCTAATGCCTTCGTTTAATAATATATTTTGTAATTTGACTTAAATAAATTGTCATGTTAATTTCATTAATTCATTTTATCTACTACTCTTGAGACTTAAATGGTCACTGATCGTGAATTTCAAAAGCAAAATAAAAAAAATCTAAGAATTGAATGTAATGGATCATACTAAAGGTTCAAAGATTATCACTTGGACCACACGACCTTCCGTGGTCACGGCAAATGGCTCTCTTCCTATTGCCAAGGACGAAGCAAATCGCCGTGAGAGTGCGCTATTACCAATACATGTGTATGAAGTCGTACTGAAATATTGATGCTATCAAAAACAACTTCATTTGATACGCTTCGTTAGACTTTTTATCCGGCGTACTAGAGATAAAATATTTATTGATTAATTGTGATACTCTAATGGGGAAGCTTTCCAAGAAACTGACTTATAGTAAACGTTATCATCAACACTACTTAAAAACATGAATGGAAGTTAAATTTATGAATGAACAGACACAAATCTTATTATATGCAAATGTTTGTTATCGTAAACATCGCGTTAATTGTATTCAGTAAACAGGTGTAAAATCGGTTGCATCCGGCGTTACTAACTAGACACAAGGTAACGATAATGATCAACTTTAACTTAAGAATTAATCATGTTTTTTTTTTTATTAATGTCTGAGACAATTATATTTATACAGGTTTCTAGCTGTTTTCGCGCGACTTTGTCTACGTAAATTTTAGCATATGTCATCCGCTTATGATGTAGCTTCACGAAAGTGAATTTTTTAAATCCTTCTAGTAGTATTAGAACTTATTCAATACAAACAAACAATCAAATCTTTTCCCTTTATAATAATAGTACTAGCTTTCCGCTAGACTGTTCTGGACTGTTTGGTAGGATAAATATTAGTAATATTATTTAAGCTTTGTAAACAGTTTAAATAATTTTACAAGTGATATTCGTGACACGGATATAATTACAATGACAAATTGAATAGTAAACAAAGTTACTATGCTAAAGTTAATAATTTCTTATACAAACTTCCACTCCCATTTTCAACCCTTTATTTCAATTTTTCGGGATAAAATGTAGCATAAGTTCAACGCATATTATGTAGCTTCCCGAAGGCGTTTTTTTTAATCGGTCCAGTAATTTTGGAGCCTTTTCGATGCAAGCAAACAAACAATAAAAACTTTCCTCTTCATAATATTAGTATAGACTATAGATTATGAATATAATGAGGAGCTCGATGGTCTTTGGTGATAAAATGGGTAAAACATTACTTGATATAATTTAATTTTAGCATCTTCGCAGTGTTGTCAACTTGATACGTCAGGTAAGTGCTAGATGACACCTCATAATGTGTTAGATTGCAAGGGATATCCAAAAAATTGTGCTTAACATATTTCTTTGATCGAAGCTCTCTTCTTCACTGACGGAATCTTCTGGAACGGAATTTGTCACGCAGGATCATGCACGAGAAAATTGAAATATCCAGATTTCCAATTTATTTTTTAACGTAGACTTGTTGTTCGTCTTCTAATTACCTTTAAATCTCTCCGCATTTAATTTTCTTTGAAGCTACCTATAAAATCTAACGGTGAGCCAAAAATAGATCAAAAATACTAAATAGAGCAGATTTGGAGCTAGGTGCTTTAAGTCAAATTTCGGTGCTGACCTTATGATAATAGTGCCAGATCTAGCACCGAAAGTGCTAAGTTGGCAATACTGCTCCTTCGTGGTTTGGAAAGTATGTTAATTATAAAAAATTCCAAATGCGAATGATGAAATTTGGAATAGATGTTAATTTAAAAAATAGTATAGTATTATCTCTTGTAGTAGTAAAAGTTGTCGATTAAGGTAGTGGACTAGGACACATAATGAGTTCGGACATCTTGAAACGTCATTATTCAGTATATGAACACCGTTTACTGGTAAAATGCTCAATTAATTCATCGCGTGCTTCAATTCTAAACAATGATCATGACCCCGATACGCGACACCACTAACTGTTGACACTCATGATACTTTTTGCAATAGTTTTGCGATTGTCTGGAGGAATTTATTTAAAATAATCTTCCAACGATTACTAATTTCAGTTTTCATCATTTCATTCATCACAAATTTATTAGAAGCTGTTTGTCATGTGTGTTTTGTGTTTTTAAAAACAACCACCGACTTAGCACCGGCCCTAACAAAAGTCGATTCCCTTTGACAACACTAGCATAAGCTAACATGTTTTTATACTATTGGGTATAAGAAGAGATTTATTTTAAAACATAGCCAAATTTTAAATACACACTCGGCAAAAGTTTCATTGCACACGTATATACGATACAAAACACAAATTGAATGGCGATAGATAAAAGGTTAAATAAAAAGTATGATCCAACTTCGCCAACTTGATTTTTTCCAGATTTGTCGTTGTATATGAAAATGAAAATATTCTTTGTGCAAGAATACATACTGAAAGTAATTTGGAATGCTACAATATTTTTCGGAGTTATCCGAGTAAGCACAATTTTGGTAATTATTAATGTCCCAACTTTTACATATACTTACAAAAGCATTGTTATACAAATTTATAGCAGAACCTCTTAAATTTTGTTTAGACTCTCGCCCTCCATGTCATCAAATATAAGCAAATCAAAGACTACTTTACCCCCTTCAGCGCATACATTATACTTGGATAACCCTTCAGGAGTATTGTCAGCTGATTAAATAGGTGCAATAAACTCATTAGATTTAACAACAGTAACAACATTTACATAATTCAATACCAACTCAACAAACAACTACACCTGCTTAAACTTATAAAACAGTAATACTCACTCTTTCTTATTGTTGACTACAATGACTAGTTTCACTTTCCGAGGGCCCTTTGTCATCTTGCAGAGGTCCTTGCTTTTGTCCGCCGGGCCCTGGGTCAAAATTTTTAATAACGGAATGTTTCCGCGTTACTCAGTCCTCAGCCAAAATGGCCGGTCCCGATGTCACCTCACTGTCATCTTAACTATTCAACACCACTTGCACACATGTTCAGTCTTTTCAAACTTAAAAACGAATATCACTTTTAGTTAATTAAATAATACTGTTTCTTTCACTCACTCTATATCACTGGTTTTAATACTGTACAGTACAATAATACTTGGACGTAATTGGTTATCTATACTTTAAACGTAATAGTTGACGCCCAAATCGATTCTGTTCATTGATTTACAGATTGTATTAGCAAAGTATTAACGGATTAAGGAATCGTGATTGATGTACAGTTGCAGAGCAATTTCAAAAATTATTATCACAGTGAAAATTAGTACTACAAATTTTAACAGATAAATACCGACTTGATGATAGTGACGACTGATTAAATATTTGTAATTTTAATTGTAATTGTGTGTATAAAGATTAATGTAATTGTGGCAAACGAGGATTATATAACGAATACGTTACGTAAAAGGATAATAATAAAGTATATGTTCTCTTAGTGACAGTTTCTTTAGATATGAACGAAAACGGTCTAAGAACGCGTCAAGATTTCGCATGATGAATGATGATGCATTGGAACCACTGATAAAGCTATCAGCTGGGCGACAGCGCTGAGACTAGTTTTAATACAATAGATAAACGTTAAATATTTGTGTAACATCAAACTAGATAGCGTTTCATTGCCATCGGTATCCTAATATATCGTCATTTATTTGTTTTGCTACGTTTATTTGTTAATTGTTATGTATGAAATTTCGGTAATGCATATAGAACAAATTCCTCCCGCAGTCTGTATGTTTTGTCTCTCTGAACGCTATAAATAAATATCTAAGCAATGGATTTGGACAAAGTATAAATATATAATATAAGTAGGTGCACTCGAGACCCGAGCGAGAGATAATGTAGGGCTGTCGCTTATAGGTTATTCAATCGTCAAAAATGCATGGTCAATCAATCTCTAAAATATAGTTTCCCCCGGTATGGTAAGCATCCGGTTACTATAATACAACTTTTTAATGTTTTTTTTTTTTTAATATAAAGACCAGACTACAATTCCTTTCATATCTACATAATATCATCAATTTAGTGTTTTGTAAAATGAAAACGTGGTTTTAATGAATTATGTATTTATTAATTTTTTTTTCCAAATAATCGGGCTAGGAACAAAATAAGACAATACCGATTTTAATTTTTAATAATCATGTGCTTTGTACAAACTGTTTCAATCAAAGGCCCATATTTTATTTTATTACATTGTCTAATACGCAAATATACAAAACAATATCTATTTCAATTTGGAGGTATTCCGTCATAGAGATTTAATAAATTAAATACAAATTGATATCTGGTAAACGGAATCTTGAGTAGAAATAATTCATAAACACTTTCGATGGTTAAATAACTACACAAAATTATAATTACTTATGATATTATCAAACATTACCCGAATACCTAAAAAATGAAATACCATATACGAGGGTCAAACTGAAAGTTCTTAGAAAATCAAAAACTGATTACATTAGCCAGTTATTAGTTTTATTATATCTTTTCAAAATATTGTCCATTCACGTCAATACACCGCTGCATGCGATGGAACCACTGGGAAAAGCACTTTGCCCACTCGTCCTTAGGGGTCTCTTCAATGGCATCGCGATACGCAGCCACCGCTTCTTCAGCATTCATAAACCGCTTTCCTTTAAGTTTTTCTTTAATTTTTGGAAATAAATAAAAATCACAAGGCGCGAGGTCGGGGCTATACGGCGGGTGACCCAGTAATTCAACGTTTGATGTCGCCAAATAGTCGATCGTTCGCTTGGCGGTGTGCGACGAGGCGTTGTCGTGGTGAAGGAGGATCCTACTGCGAGGTCGTTTCTCTCGAACTTTTTCCAAGACAACTGGCAAACAATCGGTAGTGTACCATTCTGCAGAAACTGTTTTTTGATCCTCTAACACAATTGTTGCAAAATGACCTATCCTTCCAAAGAACGAGGCCACCATTTTTTTTCCCGCACTTCGATCTCTCTTCACTTTAGTTGGCAACTCCTCGAAAGGAAACACCCACTGAGCAGATTGTCTTTTGGTTTTAGGATCATAACAGTAAATCCAGCTTTCGTCACCTGTTAGTATGTCGAACACAGCATTTGAGTCACCTCCGTTAAATCTTTCAATCATTTTACGACACCAATCCACACGTTGGAGTTTTTGAGCCTCAGTCAAATTATGAGGTATCCACCGGGCGCAAAGCTTCCTGACCGCTAAATGTTCGTGGAGGATTTTGTGCACTTGACTCATACCGATGCCTAAGCTTGTCCGAATCTGTTGATAGGTCACTCTTTTGTCAGTCTCTATCATACAACACAGATGTTATCTTCAGTCGTCGCCGTAGAAGGCCGTCCCTCACGTAAATCATCAGTGAGATTAGTGCGACCACGTTTAAACTCATTAAACCAGTTGTAAACAGTCGCACGAGATGGGGCTTCATCGTGAAAGGCCAATCGTAGTCTATCATAACTTTCTTGTTGACTTAAATGACATCGAAAGTCATAAAAAATCATTGCATGAAAATTTTCTCGTGTTAAATTCATGATGACGTGACACAGACAATTTTCAATTTGCCGCCAAATCGTAAAACAAATGACAAATGAATGAAATATATACTCAGTAATATTGGCAAAGAGTTATATTTTCAAATTTTAGAATTATTTTTTTATTATATTGTTTATAAGTGGCCAGTTCTAAGAACTTTCAGTTTGACCCTCGTACTTGATTTATAAAAATGCGAAATACCATTACTCTCCATATATAAATGCATATACAATATTTTGGTTTAGTTTTCAAAGCCATCTTGCTTACGTCCTGAAATTTTATAACGAGCGGCAATACAGCGACGCGGAAAATATGCAAGCACGGCGTACTAGCCACGACTGGCGAATTGCCACTCGTGCCTTGAACTTCTATAACTTCAATAATTTTGTGTGTGCGTGCGATTACGCATACGCACGGGCGCGCTCACATACAAACCACTTTCGATGGGTATGTATGAAGAGCACCTACTCTTATACTCTGATTTGGATAAGGTTTTCGTTACTAGATCTGTTTCATATGGGAGTGGTTTCTGATAAAATAGGATGATTATTAAAGGAACATATTTTATAGACTTGGCCGCTTGGTTCTATCACCTCTCATCATTATCAGCATCTAAATGTTCTAGTCTAGGTCACGGGCCTTTCATAAGAATGGAACAACACAGAGAGAATGATCCATAGTCATTTGGGTACAGGTGGCAACGGGTAAATGTCCGCATAGTTAGTATTTCAAAAAATAAAAATACTAGAACGCTAACAGTCAGTACCAGGTCGCTAGGTCCGAGTATTCTTACTAATTTACCAACCTGCTGATACTTCTTTTTCGTTTTCTATTTTCCAATTATTTAAATATAACGTTCACACTCTTGCTCTACATAACTCTACATAACTCAACTCAGTCAACAGCTTAACGAGCTTTATGATGCAAGCAGGAGCTTCAGATAACAAATGTTTGGTCACTTATCGGACGATTGGTCTTTGCGAAAGTCGCTTAACCACTGTGCCATTGAACTCCTCGGTCCGACCTACTTAATAATAATATGCTATCTTTTTACACCCAGAGATAAAAGAAACGAAATATTTTTTGTCAATGCTCTATATAGTAATCGTTGGTAATTTTGATTTCATGTTGTACAAGTGTCTTTGCTTAACTTATTATGTGTCTGGTTGATATCAGTTGTTTGTAATCCGATTAAATCGATTCCATTTAGTTAAATAGTAAACGACAAATATTTATTTTGGTATCACCAAAAGTTATTCATTACCAAAGTGTCAACTTTTATCTTAATAATATAGTTGAAGAAATGTGAAATTAAAATTCACATTTGGTACCTAAACTTATTGCACAGAACATAAAACAGAAAACCTTATTGCAAAGAACAGATTTATTGATAGAAAGTTCCCAGTTAGTAAGTACTTACTATTGCAATTAACTATTGATGATTTCAATGATTTTCTATGCTGATAAATGAGGTGGATTAAATTACTGAATAGTTCACCCGGTGAACCACCATGAGTAACTTTCTGGGTCTCACCTCCAGAAGGATATTAAGTGGTTCTATTTTGGAATTGTGGTAGAAGCCGAGGATTCATTAGTGGACATGTCCGTTGGTTAGATGAGAAGAAAGTTCCACATATAACCTCGTCGCTCAACAGAAAAGAGTTACCGATCCCGTATCCACACGGTTATAAATAGGTCTTTACTTATGAAATTGCCGTTCTGCCGTCCTGGCCATTTCAAATCAAAATATATTTTTTTACTTATAATTCTAATTAATTATATTTTTAAACCATGGAATTATTTTTTCTAAAATCGTCATTCGTTTAACAGTTAGTATTTTGTTTTCAACGCATTCGTACACTTTTCATCGCCATGGATAAGTAAAAAATTCGAGTAATTATGATGTATGAATACCGTCATGCAGCAAAGCGGCACAAGCAGCACGCAAAATCAACGATGTTTACGGAGCGAACACTACAAACGAACGCACCACACGTTATTGGCTTGCCCGCTTCCGTTCTGGAAATTTTGACCTGTAAAATATCGTCCCATGGTCGTCCGAAAACTTTGGCCGACAATGACGAATTAAATTCGATTGTGGAAGCTGACTCTCACTCTATGGTTGAATTAGCAACAGCTTTCGACGTTAGCATCAAAACAATATTGGTCTATTTGCGTCAAAATGGCAAGGTAAAAAAGCTTGACAAATGGTACCCAACGAAGTCAATGATCGGCAGCGCGAAGTACGCATCGAGACGTGCCTTGCACTGGCTCAACAGGTATACAAATGAAGGAATTCTGAACCGCATTGTTACTT